GAAAAAAGGCTGAGTAACACTGGTATAGAGTCACTTGGCTAAGTTTATCGACCATTTCTCCTCTCTTGTGTCTGTTTCAACGAGTGAGCCTCTAGTTAATTATAATATGTACGTGATAAATGTGTGTTAAGGGTTATTTAAGTAAATTTAAACGACTTCAAGTGTAGGAGGACTAGTTGTTTTCTGACAAAAATATCAAGTGGAATGTTTGTATTTATTTTTAGCTAAATACGTTGTAACGACTGTTTTTCTTTTTTAAAATTTGCCCTGAGTGAAGATAGCAAAGTGTAACAACAACAACAACGTCATATTGCAAAGGATAAAATGACTTTATTGTTATAGTTTCGCTTTTGAAGTTTTAGGATTATTGATGACTATTCACTGTGAGATAAACTAAAAAAAAACAAACCTTCAATATACTTTTTATTACTTTATTACGATATAAGAAGAAGAGCATCAGGAACAGTACAAAGACTTCCTGAATTCATGTACAGTAATTATGAAAGTCAATCGCCATCTTTTATGTGCCGTGTCCGTTTAGGACGTGGGCCATTATAATTGTCCAAAATTTTCTATCCTTTCTAACTTTAAGCAATATTTGTCCCCTTATTGTCCCTCTCAGTCCCTGTCTGCCAACCATTTGCTCTCGTAACTAATTAGGATTAAACCCACCAGGATTTGACATTTTGAATACCGTAAAAGTCGTCTTCTTTCAGCATTAATAAAAGAAAACTCTTAAGAAGTCGACTGAGCATAAACTTATTAAAATATAACTAATGTAAAAGCAAGCCCTTAGTATATCAAATAAAAACTGGTAGGCCTAGTACTACGGGTGGCGATTCTGGAATTCTGAAAGTGTGGGGACCACTTGGGGGCCGAGATTTTTCTGCGAAGAATGGGGGGCAAATTCAAGCAGCGTCTTTATTTTCATACTACACCACTATCGTATACACAACTTAAGAATGAGTTTTAGTATAAGTATGTTACTCCACTAAATTAAACGGAATAGTAGTGGAGTTCTAATCTATTCTTGCCCTCTTTTCCACTCTCAACCTGTTGGACCACAAGAGAGGTTAACTTCAAAACAAAATCAAAGGGTTAATACTAACGGCAATACTAGCAGAACAGTGTAATTTGTCTGCTCTGATTTTTTCCTCTAAAAAACTTTAAAAAGTGTGTGTGTGTGTGAGGGGGTATTTGTGTATTTGTTTATCATAAAGTTCCTCTTCTTGTGAATCTATTTCCGTGGAAGGCATGTTGAATCATTGTGAGAATGCATCTGTGCCTTTGATTACCGTGTAAATAATGTTTCAAAATATAATGTAAACTTTTAGGCAATTGAACGGCAAAGTGGAAAAAATTCTGTAACGTGGCTTCCCTCTGCCTTTTCTATTAATATTTATATATTTTATATATTTCTACATAATGTAAACTATGGCAATTGTTCTGATGATCTTTCCTCTTTGGTATATCGACTTTGTGAATTTAAATGTAGTATTAGATTGATAACTAGGTTTCGTCATTTTACTATTGAAATAATTAGAAAGAACCGTAAGTTCTATACTAATAGTTTCTTCTCTTCACTTCTCGATTGTGGAGCTCTTTTCCTGCTTCCCGCTTTCATGTCAACTACGATCTTCAAAAATTTAAATGTAACGTTAATCGTAATTTTCTGACTTTTTTTAATCCTGTTTTTTTATTGTCTTTTTTCTTCACTGACATTTTTTCATTTTATTTCTCTCTCAGTAACCTCTTTAGTCTCAGTGGCTCGTCCTGGGTATGACGATAAACCCCATCCATGTCCTGGGTATGACGATAAACTACTTCCAACATCAAGGCCTCTTGATCAGCAGGTTTTGAGGAGCGTAGAACCATCTCTTAATTGCTGGTGTTCCCATGTCCGCACTGACCCGAGGTGGTAGCACTTGCTAGGGTCACAGCTATGTGCAAATAGTTAACCCCTAAACTGGGACCAAAACACTATGAAAGTGTAAAAATAGAAATACTCTGTAAAAAAATTATTACCAGCAATAAATTTTTGAAGGAAAAAATTATTACCAGCAATACATTACTACCAGCAATATGTTTTTGAAAAAAAAAAATTACCAGCAATAAAAATTGTCGGCATTAAATAACTCATTGAGGTTGATATGCCGTAAAACAAAACAAACCAAACCAAACCATCTCAGTGGCTTTATCGCCTTGCTAGGAGGAAATGATAAAAAAGCTCGTTTCGTCCTCTAGGACTTCATCGGACTTTAGAGGTGTTCATCTAAAGTCCAATGAAGTCCTTTCAGAGGACGAAACGCGTTGCACATAATTTTTCCATTTTGTTATTGAATTGCATAAAATTGTCCTGACATACAGAAATCTGTATATCATATTCTCCCAGTGTAAACTATGTAAATTCCTATTCGTCAATACGAAGAAATAAAAAAGTTAGGTCGAATTTAGCTGCTAGAAATTCTAAAAAGTCAATGAGTATGATACTCAGAATTTTCCAGAATTCCATAATGCAAAATTATGGATGCGTTTTATACACGAATAATTATGGTAGTTTTCCCTTTCATATTTGTTCCCTCTACGTCTTTGTTTTATATAATTTTATACACATCCTGCTACAAAAACAACAGCTATGCCGCCAAAGCCTTCGTCAAATGATGACCCTGGAGTTGGTCTTGGCTTCGGGACCGAAATATAAGCCCCACGAACCCAGTGCGGCCTTACGATATGATTATTTACTCTATTTTTCTTCCACTTTCGCTACGTATGCATGGATGTGCGGATGGTGTAATGGATAGCAGAATGAGAAATCGGAGAGTCGAGTTCGAATTCCAGTCGAGTTCGTTACATTCACTTATGCCCAAATACTCTTTGAAAAGGCATGAATCTAGCTGTTACCTGGACTAAATAGTAGGACTTATATCTGGAAAAATCATTGCTATTCTCACAAAAATGTTAATGCAATATTCATTTGCAAAATAAATAAATAAATAAATAAATAAAATAAAATAAAATCAAAAATCAAAAAAAAAAATCTTATAATCCAAAATATTATTCGGCTTTAAATAAACCGTCAAAGGGTTGATAAGCCGTAAAAAGCAAATCAATCAATCAATGTATGTTATTTTTCTTATTGGAAGAACAAGAAATAATCTGTTTCGGTGCCAATTAGAGTTATTTATTTTGTGATGTCAACGAACACGCATTGCCATTTTCGTAATGCTTGTTATAGGAGAGATTTTGTAATCGCAGATACAACTATAGTAACGCCATTGTCCAACATTCACTGTCATACAGGAGGACTAGTATTACGTAATAGTTCAGCACTCTTTTCTTTGTTTCTAACGAAATTTTTCTGTTTCTAATACTCTTCGTGGTTTTTGGAATGCATCTTTGGACATACCAATAAGTCTTCAGATTTAAATGTTGCACTTTCCTTCCTCTGCTAAAACACTCCCCAGATATTTAAATTGTATTAACAAACCAGAAAAATAAAATATTATCCAATGAAAATCTCTTACCGCCTTCAATAGGACTTTACCCACACGAATAAGGGCATCGTTATATGTCCGCTTCTATTTATCGCTTTTTATATAATTCTTAGATAGTTTTGTGAAGGCAACTGTTCGGATGAGCTCTTCGCTATGGTGGCTAGACTCTTCGAATTTAAGCGCAGTACTAGGTCTCGCCACTTTACAGATGAGCTAGCTAGATGTATCCGTAAATTATATGTTAACGGTTTCATTTTTTCGCAGTTCTAGATTGTGGAAATCCATTCCGGCTCCATGATTTCAAGCCAAGTTTAATCTGCAAAAAATTTAAATGCAATATCAATCGCTATCTACTGTTCTTCTTATTACTCTTCCTCTGTTCTCGCCCCTTAGCAATGTTCCTGTTTCTAACTCTTCCACACCCAGTAACCCCTTGCGTCTCTGTGGCTTTACTGACTTGCGTAGGGTAAACTTGATTTAAAAAATGTATAATACTGTTTGTAATGGAATTGCTATCACTTTCGTTTCTCATCAGTTCAGACTTTCACATTTAAAACTAGCCACACAACTTCCACAGGGTCAATTCACCCTCGTTTCCTACTTATTCCATTAGTAAGAACGAAATCTCACTCAAGCTGCTTCTTCACAAGAATCGCTACTTTGTAGAATAAACTCCGGCATGGATGCTTCCCTGAAAGCTACACTGTAAACCACTTCAAGGTTAAGATCAATAATTATATTTCTCTCTTATTCTCCTAATCTTTATTTCCTACGTCCATTCCACACACACCTCTTTCAGTAATCCTCTACCTGGAGTGTCTCTTGAGCGTTGTAATGGATGAAAATCTGTCAACATTTTACTTAGTTGATATCAAAGAATGAGATATATTTTCTTATTTATTCAGTTTAAGCGATGGAGCCAGCAGTTATCTACTAAGTTTAGTTTGACGCAGGTTCGCAGTAGAATGGCGTCTAGTAAATATCGAATTCACTAGACCAGCGATTCTAAACCGGTGCGCCCGAACGCACTAATGCGCCCTGATTAGATAGCCAGGCGCATCCAAAGTTAACAGAAGAGTAATTTAGGAATTATTTTTATATTTAAAACTTTATTTTTAAAAAGCTAGAGACACCAAATCTATGCCTTCCATGTGCAAGCCAAGTATTTGTCATTTGATATTTTGGATGCTAAATTCTTTAATCATTACCGAGTGGATAACCCTTTTGCCTTCCCGAAGGAATTTAAATCAGTCATTATCGGCCTCTGAAAAAAAAACAAACAAAAAAAAAACAAGAAAAAATAAATTTTTCATAAATTCCTTTAAATGAAAACTAATCTTTTGGGGAAATGCTAAACCAATATTTCATATTTTCAAATTTCATGTCTAATTTTTCCTTATTTATATTTAAAGTGCGTCCCAGAGTTTTAGTTGTTCTACAATTGTTCCTTGGAATAAAACAGTTTGAGAAACACTGCACTGGACTAATGAACAGGTCTTCAAAGCGATGCGTTCTTTTTCGTTTAAAAGAGATTTCTTTAAAGGGTATATGCAAATCGGTCACATGTTACTATTTAATATCATTATAACAAAGTATGAAATATATAATCCCGTCTGCTATTGTACCTTTGGTAACAATTTTGAACTAGATATAACAGAAAACAATTTCATATTCCCAAATTACGACATCGTATGTGCCCATTTGGACACCATAATAGCTATTAGGAATATCAAATATATTTTCGTTTTTTACAAATTATTACTCCAACTTTCATTTCATATACACGTCTAAAAACTATTACCCAACGATATTATTATTATTATTATTTGATTTAAGATCTCAGACTTAGATGTTTCGACCGGGTGATGATGGTCAAATCTCAGTTCCTATCCACAGCTTAGAAACACAACCCTTGCTTCAGCCCATGAGAAGTTCCAAGCAACACTACCACCAATGCACTCTCAACGATGACAGTCATTTCCAAGGCGTTTTCGAGGCCGAATGCTTCCTGGAAATAGTCTCGAGTGTACCAACCAAAGAAAGGATAACTTGAGCGGCTGCTTGGTAGATATTATTATTGTTATTATTGATTCATTCAGAGACGAGCGCGTCAAAAACAAGTGACGCTTGGGTACAAATAAACGAAACTGAATATACCTATCATGACACCCAGTTTGATAAGAGTATACCAGGCACATGCACCACAGCCAAATGTGCGTTATATGGTGACATGCTTTGATAAAATCAGATCGTAACCTTGCAGACGGGGCCCAGGTGAAATAACTTCATGTCGAGTAACCTAGTTCAATAAGACGCTCTCCGACTGGTGGTGTTTCCAAATAACTAGATGTGACTTGGCTGTCTCAACCTTCAAAAAAAAAAAAAAAAAAAAAAAAAAATGACAACCTACTCGACACACAACCCTAATGCTCTCCTATCTACTCCCGCTCATGAACTGATATGCATAGAGTATCAGCCGCTAAAGGACATGCCCAACTATTTTGGTCACTCCGATGTGGTGTAATGGTCAGCAAGCTTTTCTCGCTAGATCAATTATGACTGAATAGTGAGTTCGATCCTCACTAGGTGTCCCATACTTTCGGCCTTGTGCCACATCTAAGCTACGCTTAGAAAATCATTTGAGGCACCTTGACGTGGTGTAATGGTTAGCAAGTTTATCTCGTTAGAACAACTACAACTGAATAGTGAGTTCGATCGTCACTGGTTGCCCCATACTTTTGGCCTTGTGCCACATCTGAGCTACTCTTAGAAAATCAAATGCCCAACTAGCTATGGTCAGGTGGCTGACAAGCAAATCTGCGTTATTTGTGATGTTTACTGTAGTTCATTTTAATTCACCAAGACAAAACATGTGCGTGTTAACATCTCGAATCACTTACGATCCGAAGCCATGAGAGTTCATGCCTGCTGTAACATCAGGCTATTTATTATTATTATTGCTTTTGTTTTGTGTCTGTTTGTTTTACGAGCTTCAACCAGGAAACTAAAGAGACTGCAAGTCAACAGATATAAAAAGATATTAAAGCCGTACATCGCCGCAGCTATTTACCAATGTATTGATTGCTTCTATATTGCATGAATTCAGTTCACATTTTAAGATAAGCCGCCTTCTGTATCATTCTTCACTGATTTTTTCTCACATTAGCGAATGTTTTACATCCTCTCCTTCATATATTCCGAAATAATCGTAATTTTCTTCAGGATTAATCTCTAATTATTGTGTCGTTGTCAAGTAAGACATTTTTTCTGCGTAAGAACTTTCCTAGCATCAAGCAGATTTATCAACCCTGAACTTGCTTTTTATGCTATAGGAGTAGATAGGTTCGCCTATCGCCTGGTTCACACTCCTCTCCGGTCTTTTGAACAAGAGTAGAGTTTTATCTATTGTTCCCTGTTTAGTACTGGGTTTCGGTTGCTTAAAATTTCCTACGTATAAACGTCGCAAAACTATTCCAAACACGCCATTGCATCTTCTTTTATGTGTCGTGTCTTTTCAGGACATGGGTGATCGTGGCTCTCCACAACATCCTGTCTTTTATTACTGACTTTTGATACTTTATCATCGTTTTTTATCCTTGTGCTGTAACCGATACATACAAACTCATTAAGTTGGTTACTCGCTGTTTCCCTCACCTCTCAATATGTCCTGTGAGTGTTACATACTCCAGGCCCCCTTTCCTTATTATGCGTCCTAGAAATTGCAACTGTCACATATTGGTATAGGATTCCTGGTGGTTCCCATTTTCCTAAAACTTATTCGTTACTCGCATGTTCTGTTCATGATATTCTTAGTATTCGTCGGCAGAACCATATATCGCGTCAAGTCATTTCTTAATTTGTGAAGAGATTGTCCAGCATTCACTTCCATGCAGAAGAGTAGATATTACATAGGATTTCAGCACGTTTTTCTTTATTTATATTCACGTTTATAGGAAAGATCTCGTTAGAAACGAGATCTTTCCTATAAACTTTGCTTAGTTTCTGGATAACATATATTGCTATTTGTATGCGCCTTTCGATTTCTTTGCTACACTTTCCGTCATCTGTTACGATACTATTTGTTTGTACCTGGTGAATTTTGACATTCCCAACACGTAGCTCACACCTAGGGGTATCTCTTTTGCTGAGAACCATACATTTTATCTCTTCTTTTTTTTTTACAGTAATGTTTACCTTGTCCGGGGCCACTCGTGGTAGAGAGTTAAGTTAAGAGGCAGTTTATACCGATAGAAGGGGAGGAGGATAACGGTTAACCCTAGACAGTTTAAAAATTGTAGTGACCATGGAAAACATCCTCTCGGGAGTCGGTTCCACAAAGCAGTAGTTCGCTGGAAGAATCTGTTCGAGTGCAACTAACTTCTTACCGATGGAATACAAAGGAATGTGGGTGGATTGCAACAATATAAGTAGCATGACGGGTCCTACCTGTGAAGATGAGATTTGGCGGAATCAGGAAAAGTAGTTCGTCTGAGAACTTTCCATGTATTCTTACAATTAATAGTTCTTTCAGTTTTCGTTCTTAGTCTGCCATCAATACAGTGTCATTTGCGTATCTTACGATGTTAAGATTATGTCCGCCAATTTATAGAGAAGAAACAGACCACCAACACTAAAATATTCAGAACAGCTAAGATCGTCGAAAGATGCCATATGTAAAGAATTACATAAACTTAAAAAACGTACAGTTGATTAAAATGCTTTTGATACACGCCCACGTAGCTTGCCCATGTGCTAGTGAAAGTCTCTAAAAGTTAACATCTCTATTTTACGTTTCAAGGCAACATTCGTTGCTATTTAATCACCTTCACCTCTAAACCTGAAATAACCTTTTGTTTATTCTTCTGAAGAAGAGGGCGTTGTGATATATCACAACGCCCTCTTCTTTCTCATATTATTCATTCCTTTTTTTTCTTCTTCATATTCTTCCTTCTTCTTTATGTTCCGCCTCTTTTCTTCTTCATAGTCTTCTTTCTTTCTATTCCTTCTCATTTCTTCTTCATATCCTTCCTTCTTTACATCCCTACCCGTTCTTTGTTCATATTCTTCCTTCATTATATTCCATCTCTTTTCTTCTTCATATTCTTCTTTCCTTTTCATATTACTTCTCTTTGTTCGTTACATGCCTACTCTTTTCTTTTTCATATTCATCCTTCTTTCACTTTTCTTCTTCATATTCTCCTTTCTCCTTTACGTCACTTCCTTTCTTCTTCATATTCTTCCTTCTGTTTTACATTACTTTTCTATTTCTTATTCTTCCTCTTCTTTTTTCTTCAACTTTGCATTGCTTCTCTTTTCTTCTTCATATTCTTCCTTCTCTTTTCTTCTTCATATTCTTATATCTTCTTTACGTCCCTTCTAATTCTTCTTCTTGTTCATATCATCATTCTTCTTTAGATTAAGTCTTTTTTTCTTCATATTCCTTGGTTATAATCCTTCCTTTTTCTTCTTCCTGTTTCTCCTTCATATTCTTCCTCCTTTATATACATTCTTTTTTCTTCATATTCTTCCTTTCTTACATTCCTACACTTTTCTGCATCATATTCTTCCTTCTTCTTTACGGTCCTTCTCATTTCTTCTTCATATTTTTCTTTCTTTGCTTTTCTTCTCTTTTCTTCATATTCTTCTTTACGTTCCTACTCTTTTCTTTCTTTTTGTTCATATTCTTCCTCCTCTTTTACGTCACTTCTCATTTCTTCTTCTTGATATTTTCCTTCTTCTTTGTATTCCTTCTCTTTTCATATTCTTCTTTCTTTTCATATTCTTCCTTCTTTTCTTCTTCATATTTGTTCTTCTTTTATATTTCTTCTCTTTTCTTCTTTGTATTCTTTATTCGTTGTATTCCTTCTTCTTCCTGCTTCCTATTCTTGCTTCTTGACATTCCTCCTCCGTTCCTCTTCATATTTTACCATCTTCTTCATATTCCTTGTCCATGTCCTTTCTTCTCCTTTACATCTCTTTTCTTTTTCTTCTTCATATACTTTCCTCTTTACATTCCTTTCCTTCATCATATTCTTCGTTCCTTACATTCATTCTCTTTTCTTTTGCTTCCCTCTTTATATTCCTTCTCTCTTCTTCATATTCTTCGTTTGTTACAATCTTTCTCTTTTCTTCATGATTTTCTTCGTTCGTGACAAGCCTTCTCTTTTCATCTTCATATTTTTCGTTCGTTACAAGCCTTCTCTTTTCTTCTCCATTCGTTACATTCATTCTCTTTTCTTCATATTCTTCGTTCGTTACATTCATTCTCTTTTCTTCTTCATATTGTCCCTTCTCCTTCACGTTCCTTCTTCTTCTTCTTCTTCTTTTCCTTCCATCTTGTTTACGTTCATTTTCTCCTCTTTATATTCTTCATTCTATACATTGTTTCGCTTTTCTGCTTGAAATTCTTTCTTCTTATTTGGGTTCTATCTCTTTTCTCCTTCATATTCTTCCTTCTCCTTTACTTTCCTTTTCTTTTTCGTCCCTTATCTTTATTCCTTTTCTACTTTATATTTTCCTTCTTTACATTCCTTCGTTTTTCTTCTTCATAGTCTTCCTTCTCCTTTGCGTCCCTTCTCTTTCCTTCTTCTTCATATTTCTTCTTCTTCTTTACGTTCCGTTTCTTCGTCATATTCTTCTTTCTCTACATTTCTTCCGTTTTCTTTATATTCTTCCTTCTCCCTTACATTTCTTCTCTTTCTTCTTCATATTCTTTCTTCTCTTTTACGTTTCTTCACTTTTCTTCTTTATATCCTTCCTTCTTCTTTACCTTCCTTTACTTTTCTACTTCTTTCTTTACATTCCTTCTTCTTCTTCTGCTCCCTGATTCTAGCGAAACTTTAACCTGTTAACCATTTTACGTCTCTTATAATTATAACTCTTAATTCCAGGTTCGAATCTTCAGCGCTTCTTTTTTTTATTACCAGTTCTTAGGACTAGGATCAAAGTGTAGTATCTGTTTCTCACGTCTCTGAAGTGTTTCTCTTTTCGGACAGTTCACGGAATAACTTTGAGGGATACCTGGGCTCCGGATTTCAACCCTATAGCAGCACCTCCCTCATTCTACTAAAGAGGGAGGGTTGGTGAATAGTGGTGCGGGGAGAGTAATTTTTGGCTTAAGCCCCTATATAGGCATGTGAGTATCCAGCATTAAAAACGACCTTGTCTCACACCCCGTCACTTTAGAGGCGAGGGTGGCAAGTGTGGTCGAATAAATAAAAGAATCTTCAGCTCGCTCTGTGCCGATTATACATTAACCTCATTCCAGCATTCCTTATTGTTACATGAAGCTTATTATATCACTTCCTTCAGATACTTATCTCAAAGAGCAGGGAAATGGCGAAAACAACTGAATCACTCAATACCAACCTGCATCCACTTCGTCCCTCTTATCCATACGAAAAAAAGAAGGTAGACCAAACAAAAACTTATACAACTAAACACTATACACAAGTTCATTATATCGTTGTCTACTCATGTCCTCATCTTTGTTGTTACGATCACACTGTTTCGACCGTTCTGCTCTCTGGCTTTCTTTAGGTGTCTACCGATTCAAGTAACCTTCAGTGAATTTAGAAGTTAGCCCTTTATTCAATATAAATAAGTAGATTGTTCTCATTGCTGTCTAGGGATATCTCGTCTTGGTTAATCGTTTAGCTATTGCTCGTTTGACTTTTGAGCCACATTATCCAGCCCAGGTTACTAAATCCAATATACCAACACTTTAATCCTCGGAACTTACCCCGTAAAATTAAAAAAAAGGTGGAAGATCACTGTTGTAATCAAGTAAATGGATAAAGAAATAACAAAACAAGTGTTCCAGAAGAGACAAGTGAATGTGTGTCGGCAATCCAGCGTTCAATCTATTCGACTGTTATATTTAACAGTCCCCCCACAAGGAATGTATGTGGCACAAGGCCGAGTTTAACGTGGGTTTCTCCGAGCCCGTAGGCTCGGCCAAAAATATTCCCTTTGAACCTTTTGGACTGTCTACCTCCCCGGACGAAACTTTGCCCTGCGGCAAAGCTTCGTCCGAGTTCCTCTCTGCCGAGGCAAAGAGTTGGACAATCTATTCGACTGTTCCCCGAAGGCCTTCTCTCCTACTAATCTTATAGTAGGCGGAAGAGTCCAACATAGACTCTTTAGAGGGAGGACACCACAACAGTCACATTGATAGCAGAAAATTAGCCACGCCAGCAAGAGCAAATTACTAAGACGACTAAGATATATACAGGGATAGCGAGAAAATTATTTGTTTTTCCTTTTTAACGGAGAGTTAAAATAATGAATTGCATTAAGCCTGAAAAAAAAACAACAAAAAGAAAAAAACAGTGAAATATTGGTGGAATAAATAAGTCAGACTCCCACGAAACTGAATTTTCGTATGCGGTCAATTGCCGATTTTATTCTGATGAACACACACACAAAATACAATTCTGAAAACTCTCCGCGGTCACACTGGGTAGTCTCGTAGGTTAGTGAATAGAATAATCGCGCGAAGGTTAGTAATGAACGATAATACTTACGACAAGAACAACACATATAAGATTCGTCAGCGGCGCGTAGAAGTAGTCAACTGCTAGAATTGAGTCAAGTGAATTCTACAATGAATCTCCAACTGCAGGATATCTACCAACTGCCTCCCGCGACCAGTTGCGGCACTAGGCTGAATTTAATGTGGGGTATCCGAGCCCGTAGCCTCGGCCAAAAATTCCCCGTAGACCCCGTATAAAACGAGGTCGAGTAGCTGTTTCCCCGAGACGAGACGCTGCCTTTCGACATGGCCTCGTCTTGGGATCCTCTCTGCCTAAGAGCAGAGAGTTTGAGCATCACAGCTGGAGACGAATCTCCAACTGCAGACCAACATACAGTATTTACTACTGTATTTATGTGAATGGAGACATATAGAGGGAGACAATTAGAAAAAAAAGGAGGCATAGGAGGCGGCCGGGTAACATTAAAACCAGGTAATCATTTCTTTTTATAAAAGCTATATGACAAAATCACTTACACTTAAGGGACACATACGTTTTACAAAGGATAAAATGTTTTAAGATTTTTAAAGTGTTATTGATGGATGTGGGATTTGATTTCATTTTGTTGTTCTAAGTTAAAAGTTCAAACATTTGTTTACATCTTGCTGACGGTATTTGGACAGGACGCGCTACACACCAGCCAAATCAGACAGCTGACGTCTGCAGGGACGAATACTAGTTTCTAGGTGAAGCGATGTAGCAAGGTTGTTAATGCAATATTCACTCGGAAAAGATAATAATTTTTTTTACAATTCAAAATGTTTCAGCTTTAAATAACCCACACAAGGTTGATAAGCCGTAAAAAAAGAAAGCAATATATTTCAGTATATCTACGTTATATACCGTACCTATGAACCCTTTTTAGGTTACAACAATCTAATAGCAAGAAAGAAGTGTTTTCATATGGATGTGAGAAGGAAGTGCTAAGGACGTGGTTTGGGAGAGGGGGAGGCGGCAGCTAGAAAAAGCTTGGAAATCACTGATGTAGAATTTTGGTTGAATAAAAAAATCTTATTGATTATTATTATTAATAATAACAGTGTTCATTTTTATTAGAAATGCCGAGATTGAAGGCAAAAGGTATTTATTATTTTTGATCACGTGATACAAAATCAATTGTCATCTGTTTGTTTCGGTAATGAGGAGTTATGAGACTGGTGACATTGGCAAGTTGAGTCTTCAATACTCTTTGGAAAAGGCATGAATTAATTTCTCCCTGTACAATGTCCAATTTGCAGATATCTTGGCCAAACGTCACTGCCATGGCATGGGAGGGCAACGTATGTCACGATGGTTGAGAAAGAAAATAGTGATTGGGTGAATGTGCAAAACCAGTATCCGATTACTAACGTTAGACAATCAACACCCTCGACATAGCGCCATTTTCCCAAATGAGAAAGATCTGTAGCGCTTGTGATACTTATCAGTACTTTATTGAAGACTGTTATAATACAAATGTTGCAAACATTTTTTTATTAGTTATTTTTTTTACTTTCTTCTTTTCTTACTTTCTCTCTCTCTCTCTCTCTCTCTCTCTCAACTTTTCCTCTTCTTCGACCTTTAATATATTCACGGTGCATCGAAGATAGCTGCAGGGCACGCCACTATCCACATTCATGTGTCGCACCCATAGCCAATGCATACAGTCCGTGCGGCATTACCGTAGGCGGATGTGTACATTTCCCTGGCATGTTACTAAGTGGGTTGGTAGGTATGTCGATAAATAGTTTTTTTTTCATTATAATTCAGTGACGTTTCGGTTAAGGAATGTTACGAAGCGGTTGTCAGTGTCTAAAATAGCTGGAGATCTGTAAGAGAAAGCTAACACTTGAAAAGAAGTAAGGTGGGCTGTTTAACCCAGATCTTGAGATAAGAAGAAAA